TCTTGGAAGTCGGTCAAGCAGTCCATGGTTACTACATCTTCAAACCATTCAGAAATCATTGCTTTATACGAGACTTCACGCGAATGTGTATGGTTAAGATCTTTAATCCAACATATTCGTGGATCATGTGGAATTACAAATGATATAACCCCCACTGTCCTTTATGAGGACAATGCAGCTTGTGTTTTACAAATGAGTAGTGGGTATGTCAAAGGGAGCATGACAAAACATATTGCTCCAAAATTCTTTTACCCACACGAGCTCCAGAAGAGCGGTGAGATTATTGTACAAAAAGTGAGGTCTAGCGAGAACTTGGCAGACCTCTTCACCAAATCCCTTTCTACATCTACTTTTGAGAAATACATTTATGGTATTGGTATGCGTAAACTGGGAAGACTGTTGTCTTCAGGGGGAGGGAAAAACTCAAAATAATCCCGAAGATTAGGTCCTGAAGACCAAATGTTGTACTCTTTTTCCCCTTTAACTAAGTTTTTCCCAATGGGTTTATTAGTAAAGGTTTTTGACGAGGCAGCTAGTAAAACACATGAATTTTTATAAATCATGTACTCTTTTTCCCTTGACTAATTTGTTTTTCCCCAGTTGGGTTTTTATTAGCAATGTTTTTAATGAGGCATGTAGTAATGTCCAAGGGGGAGTGTTATAAATATATTAATATGGACATTACTAATAGATGATTGGGCCTGAAGTCCATTAGTTAGTAGGATTAGGTTGTAGGGCTTCCCTCTTGTAAACCCTATAAAAGGGTGATTATACCGATGAATAAGATACACACTTTTCTGCTTCTCTTTTCTCGTTCTTTTACTGCACATCTTTTATGGTTGGATTGATGGATGCTTGGTGAATATAGAAGAGTTCCAATTTACAACATAGTTGATATTATTTAATATTGATGATAGTGAAATTGAGTTAAATTTTAGTTTTGATTAATTTTTTTTTTTTAAATTGAAATCATAAATAATCATCCCGTAAACGACTAAAAGCTTGTGACACATTACAATTGATACTAGAAAATAGCTTTGATTATAAAATGACCATGAGGGCAACACCATTTAATAGTCGGTTACTTTTTTTTTTTTTTTTTTT